ATATACTATTTTGTGACTTAGCCCAGATCACCCCTTTAGTAAAATCTCTTTTGATTTATCAAAATTTAAAAAAAAAAAAAAAAAAAATTTATGTATTCAGAAATATTACTAAAAGTATATGATCATTCTAATTTCCTGTCTTCCAGTAACATCTCCATCTCCATCTCCATCTCCATCGCCTATCCATGTCTTCGTTGGAGGTATTGTTTTAGTCCTCTCTCCTTTCATCAAAATGACTTGCCCTAAACTCAACAATAAAAAAAAATTACGAAAAAGAAATGCACAACCACAATAATCATGTTGCAAACAGCATACAACACACCTACAGATAACAGGAATAGAAAAAGATGGAAAGCTAAAAACATACTAGACAACTATAAATTCGTTAGCATAATCTCCGTCCTTGAAATTAGTCGCCATGTCTTGAATACATGTAAACCAATGCTAATCGAGCTTTCTATAACTACACTACTACATATAGAGAAAATCATGTCTGTTTTTATACTTCTATGTTTTCTGTCATTGGTTGAGAGGAGCGGCGGTCACTCAAATAAGCATGAGAAGAATTATAGAAGGAGATGACAGGGTAAAGAAGTCTATTGATCAACTGAGAAAAACAGAGGTGGTGGACCGGTGGTGACTGAACACTCCCCCTTGCGAGTGCCTCTTTCTTCATTTGCTCTATTCGTCGTATTGAGTTGTTATCGTAGTTTTACAACTTGACGTCTTAACTGTAAAGTCCTTTTCTGAACTATAGCTAAACAGACGACTGATTAAATTTATCACTGCATAATCATTCAACCTCATCGACCATGCACTTTGTTCAGTTGCCATAATTGCTGTAAATTATGCTTTTGTAGTTTATAGTGTTACCATCCATTGTTTCTTACTACACCAAGACATCATGTCATCCAAGACTGAATAAGTACATTTCATATTAGTTGACTGATCCATTTTGTGATTCTAGAATAATCAGCATCATAGGAACGGTTCGAGCCCATGCCTTGATGCAAGGGCAACACTCCTCTCCACCACTATGGTAGAGGGCCATTTGCATTTGGCAAAAGAGATGAAAAGTAATGGTGGAAGGATTTGAGTTTGCCCAATTAGGGAGTGATGCAGTTCACGTAGAAGCTGCAGAAAATAGGAAGGGAAATAACCATGCACAAGCTAAAAGAAAGAGAATAGGAAGGGCCATATTTTCCAGGAAAATATTTTCAGGTCTTGTCAGAAAACGAAGGATTCAAACCTAAGGGAACCTTCAAACACACTACCCTAGCACATCATTGTCTATCAGAACCAATAAAGGAGGAAGAGTGAGAGAGAAAACTTTGATGCGACATAAAAAGAATGAAGTTATGAAACATTACAAAGAACTTTTGTATTAAGTCTTTTACTGAAAAGAAAGGGTTCACCTTTTGTAGATTCAACAATTACTGGTTGACGGTAGCAGCATTTCCATCATCCTCCCCAAACCATCCCTTTATCTGTTAGGAAGACAAATGATTAATTGATATGCAGAGGGATGATCATAACAGGCACAGAAACTTATTAGTTACACGCTGGGATTATGTTGTTCGACTGATCCATGCGTTAACAAGTGATTTAACTCAAGCATATGCCCTTCTAAAGATTGGACCCAAACTCAATTCGGCAGGGATATAGGGAAATAGAGTGATAGCACCCATACTTGGTTTTTCCAAAGTGGTTTTAATTGTCTTTCTATACAGATTTCATTTTCAAAGACTACTCTTTCTTTGACAACCCTTACTGTTCTAAGCATGCAATGACACAGTCCAAAATTCGTACGAAAACTAATTTTCCACAATAATAAGTTTATATTAACTCCAATCAGATTATAGGAAAACGGATGATATGTACAGGGAAAATTTGCAGACAACTGACAACACCATTAAGAATGATCATTGACAACTGCACATTTGTCTTGTTTAAAATACCTTAATCGCATAGCAATTAAATGAGGTCAACTGATTTCTTAGTGTGATTAGACAAATTGAAGAGTAATTATCGGATAATTAATGATATGCCAATTAATTATCGGATCTTGTAAACAAAATGCTAATTAAATAAATACATACATACATACATACATACATACATACATACATACATATATATATATATATATATATATATATATATATATATAGAGTTAGGAATCTTAATTATAAAAACGGAGCAAGAAAATAATATTTCATACCCACCTTGATTGCTTGATCCCTTTTGGGAAGGAGAATGTTTGGATTGGAAACCTAACTCTTTCTTTCCTCTTCATTCTTCTCGGTTTTTTTGGTAACTATTTTCTAATATCGGATTAAATGAGAAACATATACGTGAGAGGGTTTGAGGGCACTGTGGTAGTGCTACTACTACTTGGTATGCACGTAAAGCCATCTCCAACCGTTCTGGCCAAAGGGCCGAAAATAACCTGAAATGACGTGAAAACCGTCTCCAACTGAGGGCTAAGCCAAAGGGCTTGTGGGCCCCACTGGGCCAAAAAAGGAGATAAGGGCCAACTGGCTGGCCTAAAAGAACCAGCTAGATAGCCCGAGGCCGGGCCATAAATTTGAAACCAACAGCTAGCTGATGTCAGTTACTGTTGGATTTGAATTAATTTTTTTTTTTTGGGGGCCAAAATTTAAAAAACAATATTTATAGGCCGAGAAAGGTATGATTAATTCAATGTTAGGGTGTTCCTTTTATAGCCCTGTTTGCTTGCTTAATTATTTCCCACGGCCGATGTGGGACTATCTCAAACTAAGTTGTACTAGTAATTGGACACTTAAATTAAAAAATTAATTTAACATACAACTGTTAATCGCCGCAAGTAGACATGAAAACGGCACTAATTACTACGACGAAGTAAGTGTTTTCATAATTTATTTTAAATATTTAATTATATTACATTTAATTTATTGTAGTTGTAGTTTTTAAATTTAAGTTGTTGTAGTTTTTAAATTTAAATGATAAATTATGTTTGGCCTTATGGCTCATTGGCCCCTTCGGTTAGGGATGGTTTTTGTCACAGAACTATGTTTGGCCTATGGTCCTTTGACCCCTCGGTTGGAGATGGTAAGAAATATGACCATGCACTGCTCGTTAAAATATTAATTTCTTGGAGGGCTATAGGGCTAAAATGAGCTATCTAGCCCTTCGGTTGGAGATGACCTAAGGTGCCACTGGGGCGCTGGACACGTGTCAGCATCAAGATACATCACTCAATACAATCAGGATCTCTACCACGTGGCTTTGTTTTTCCCTTTCTTCCTTCTATTCATGATTCAAATTTTGAAAACTAACCAAACTTTGAATCATGAATTGAATTTTAACCAACCTTCATAATTTATTATCATTCTAACCAAAATTTGACATAAAACTACTAAAATACCCTTTTTAACTAAAATAATTGCAAAACTATGAAGTTTTTTTCCCTTAGAAAAATACCTTCACTCGTAGGCATTTGACATCAGAAGCTCCAAAACTGCTTCAATTGGGTTACTCTTACACTGCTCTGCAGCTTCTCTCACTACAACGGCTTTAAAACCTGTCAGCGCAAATAGGTCCTCCTCCAAAAACCAAAATTGGAGCTAGAAATTTTCAAATGGGTACTCGCCGTTGAGAAGAAGGAAGAAAATCATAGCTTTGCATTGAAACCGGATGAGGCCACTAGGCCTTTCCTCGAATCTGTGCTACTTAAAGAGGTTGTTATTAATTTAGGCGTGAAAGTATTTTTAGGGAAACTAAACAAAAGAGAAGATATAGTTTTGTAATTATTTTAGTTAAGAAAAGGTGTTGTAGTATTTTCATGTCAAATTTTGGTTAGAATTATAATAAATTATAAAGGTTGGTTAAAATTCTATTCATGGTTCAAATTTTGGCTAGTTTTCCAAATTTTTCGTTATTTAATTAATTTCCATGCTCTTTGTTTTTGGCTTATTATATTAACATCTCACAAATTGTTAAATAAACCTTACATACTTAATACACCCCACATTTGCTTTTTCACTTAAAAATTATCTTAATACACTCCACATACTTTCCCATAATACCCCCACACCCCACATTCTCAATATACATCTTATATTTTGTACATACACCTCACATTTTCTTTACACCCCACATTTCTCAAATCTTATAACACTCATTTTTAATTTTCAGGGATTGAATCTAACCATTTGAATGTTTAGTTTGCCGAAAGATTTCAAATCATCTGAAAGTTTAGTTTGCCGAATGATTTCAAAATAATGCTTTGAAATCATCTTAGTATAGATTGAAATCATCTTATTAACGCATGCTAATTCGAAAAACACAAGTGATCCTTATTCAACTTCTAAATACAATGTTGGACCTATTATATGGCCTAGAGATTCTACCTCAGTTCCTAAGGGATGGGAGATCCCGACAAATGGCAAAAGATTGAGAGTAGGAGTCCCTGTGGAGAATGGTTATCCTCAATTTGTAAAAGTTGTATATGACTCTAGCACTAATACGACTGATGTTATTGGGTACGCAAGATTAATATGAATCCTAAAAGATGAATATGAATATAGAAGTTTAAATAATGCAACAAAAGCAAGATTAAATAATTATTGATGTCATCGAAATCACTAAAACAAAGAAAAATATGAAGTCTTACCTCATGTGAAGTTTCTGAAACATTGATTTCATGTTCCATTCGTCGAAAACAATTTTTCTCAATCAACATGTTTGTAGTTTCATTGGTTAGGGTTTTGTTCAACAATGGAGTATGGGAGGGTTTTGATTGTTAACAAAATAAATAATACGCTAAAAGTGATTTGGGATGTATTTATAGATTTTTATTTTTTTTTAAAACTTAATAAGGTCAAAATTGTTATTGCATAGTGGGGTAAATAACTTATTTAATATTAAATTTTAATATATGGTGCATTCAACATTTTGTGGGGTGTTAATATAAAAACCCTTGTTTTTTTTTTTTTTTTTTCGAACACTGAAGCGTCGAAATGGCCCTTCTCTCTCTGCCCCCTATCTTTCTCCCTCTAGCTCGGACGGACTCCGTCCACTTCTCTCGTTTTGTTCTCTCCGGTATCTCTCTCTCTTCCACCAAGCCCGTCAGAGTTTGTCAGAGGTGCCAATTATTCCCCACTATCTGTTTTGTAACAGAATACCAGTTAACAGAATCACCCCCGTACCCGCCGCCGCCTCCGCTATCTCAGAGCCGCCCTCATTTTCGTTTGAATCTGAATCCTCCTCTTCCATTGCTCCGTCGCCCCAACCGTCACAACCTCTGCCGTCTCATCCGCTCTCAATTATCATCAGGTACTACTCTCACTCATCTCCTCACTCTCTCCATCCATTGATTTACGCACACATATATGTATAGATTACGCAAATGATATTTAGATTAATGAGCTCAGATTTTCAGAATTGGTTTGAATTGCGGAAGGCCCCGATTGTTTGGGTTTGCAATTGCCGCTGAGCGTGTGCATTTTATGCCTCTGTGAGTTTCTGAGCTGATGCAGTTGTTCGTGTTGTATCTGGATGCAGGCGGAGGCGGCTACGGTTGGGAAGGTTAGGCACAAAAGATTGGTGAGGGAAATGAGAGGCTGTTGGTGGCACAATGCATGCCTAATCATACTCTCTCTAAATACCTCTTTCCCTGTATGTTTCTATCTCTCTTGATACCTATAAAAACTTGAATCTTGCTAATTTCCTCCAGAAGCCTCATGTCGTTGCAACATATTGTATAAGGTAGTTTTGCTTTAATCATTCTTCTAGTTGTAACTTGTAACTTGTAACTTAATGCAAATGCTTGGGGAAGTGAAGTGATCACCAATCGTGAGTCAGCATGTTCATCTGTGTCCAAGGACTCTCACTAGGCATTTAGCTGTAAATACAATCCTTTTTCTGGTCTGAATTCTGCGTAACTTACATGGTCTTTAATTCTGTCCTAGTTTTTGTAAGGATTCTGGATAGGGGTTTTGTTTTGAGTAATCTGGCATCAATTAGATGGGTTTTTGAGCAATAACGGATTAATTTGGTCTTTTCTGGTTTTTGTGTTTAGTGTATCTTTGGGATATCTGTGATGTAGTTTGTTGGTAGTACCAAAATAAAATTTAGTGGATTTCAAGGGTAGTTTAAACAAAACAAATGTGCAGTTGTCATGATCATTCTTAATGGTGTTGTCAGTTGTCTGCAAATTTTCCCTGTACTTATCATCTGTTTTCCTATAATCTGATTGGAGTTAATATAAACTTATTATTGTGGAAAATTAGTTTCTGTATGAATTTTGGACTCTGTTATTGCATGCTTAGAACAGTAGAGATTGTCAAAGAAAGATTAGTCTTTGAAAATGAAATCTGCATCAAAAGACAATTAAAACCACCTTGGAAAAACCAGGTATGGGTGCTATCACTCTATTTCCCTATATCCCTGCTGAAGTGGGTTTGGGTTCAATCTTTGGAAGGGCATCCTTGAGTTAAAGGACTTGTTAACGAATGGATTAGTCGAACGACATAATCTTGGCATGTAACTAATGAGTTTTCCCTCTGCATATCAATTAATCATTTGTCTTCCTTACAGATAAAGGGTTCGTTTGGGGAGGGTGATGGCAATGCTGCTACTGTCAACTAGAAATTGTTGAATCTACAAAAGTTGGCCCCTTTCATTTCAGTAAAAGACTTGATACAAAAGTTCTTGTAATGTTTCATAACTTCATTCTTTTTCCTCTCAAGCATTTCATAACTGCAGATTTTGATGTTGCATCAAAGTTTTATCTCTCTCTTCTCCTTTATTGGTTCTGATAGACAATGATGTGATAGGGTCAGCATGTTCATCTGTGTCCAAGGACTCTCACTAGGCATTTAGCTGTAAATACAATCCTTTTTCTGGAATGAATTTTGCTTAACTTAGGCCCTCTCACGTATATATTTCTCATTTAATCCGATATTAGAAAATAGTTACCACATAACCAAGTAGTAGTAGCACTACCACAGTGCCCTCAGACCCTCTCATGTATATATTTCTCATTTAATCTGATATTAGAAAATAGTTACCAAAAAAAAGGATAACTAGGAAGAGGAAAGAAAGAGTTAGGGTTTCCAATCCAAACATTCTCCTTCCCAAAATGGATCAAGCAATCAAGATGGATATGAAATATTATTTTGTTGCTCCGTTTTTATAATTAAGATCCCTAACTCTATATATATAATGTATATTTAATTAGCATTTTGATTACAAGATCCGATAATTAATTAGCATATCATTAATTATCCGATAATTACTTTTCAATTTGTCTAGTCGCACTAAGAAATCAGTTGACCTCATCTAATTGCTATGTGATTAAGGTATTTTCGCTAAATTCTCTAGATCCATGTCATGCAATTTCCTTTCCTTTCCTATTATGTTAATTAATGATTATAGTTCTACCTCTTAATTTCTTGCTTAATTTTATCTCTTAATTTTAAGAACAACATTATCTCTTAATTTTAACAACAACATTATCTTTTAATTTTAACAACAACAAGGAAATAATCGGGTCGACCTAATTTCTTGCTTAATTTTATCTCTTAATTTTAATTTTATTAATTATTATTAACATAGAGATTAGCGAAATCACTATAATTCCTAATAATAATAATAATTAATAAAATTAAAATTAAGAGATAAAATTAAGCAAGAAATTAAGAGGTAGAACTATAATCAATAATTAACATATTAAGAAAGGAAATTGCATGCCATGGATCTAGGGAATTTAGCAAAAATACTTTAATTGCATAGCAATTAGATGAGGTCAACTGATTTCTTAGTGCGATTAGACAAATTGAAGAGTAATTATCAGATAATTAATGATATGCTAATTAATTATCGGATCTTGTAATCAAAATGCTAATTAAATATACATTATATATATATATAGAGTTAGGGATCTTAATTATAAAAACGGAGAAAGAAAATAATATTTCATACCCATCTTGATTGATTGATCCATTTTGGAACGACAATGTTTGGATTGGAAACGCTAACTCTTTCTTTCCTCTTCCTTCTCTTTTTTGGTATTTATTTTCTAATATCGGATTAAATGAGAAATATATGCGTGAGAGGGTCTGAGGGCATTTTATCATAAATTTAACAAGGAAATAATCGTATTGACCTAATTTTATCTCTTAATTTTAATTTTATTAGATATTATTATTATTATTAGGAATTATAGTGATTTCACTAATCTCTATGTTAATTCCCTCTAGCATTATATTTGCTAATTTTCTGATTAGATGCATGCATGATCATAGAAACCCAATTAGGCCGCCATTCCTTATTTCATCATCCTTTTTATGCCCATTCATTAATTCTTGACATCATGTACTTAATTCCTTCATTCCTGTATCTGCTCTTGACACCCGAGCAAAGCATAAGAAGTTTGCCAATAAGTTTCAAGAAATATACTGCCCGATGTGTAACAAGAAATTTCACACGAAGAGTGGCTTCCTCATACACCAAACATCTCACAAGAAATACTACAAAGCGTGTCCGTTCTGTAAACTTTGGCTTGCCACCAAATTTGTTGTTAGTTTGGTTTTTTAAGTATTTCATATAATTGATATTTTTATAACTTTGACTGATCTGTGTTGCGGCTGCAGGGGAAAGCTTGCCCTCAAGCCGCCTCTTGCTTCTTGTGATCATGATGACTCTGATGAGGCTGCTGCTGAAGCTACTGTTGGTCATGATGGTTAAGAAGGAGAACAAGTGGATGGCTAGTTCTTGTGTTTCCTTCTGAAGAATGCATGGTATCTCACACTACTGGGTTTGCTGCAATTCAGCTTTGAACAAATAACTAGCTTTCCTTACACTCACTCTACATATTGGTGTGGTGGTCTCTTGGTTTTGAAGAACCCTTTATAAAGTTGATCTCACTAGTTAATTTCCAGTTGATCTCACTAGTTAATGTGTATGTCACTAGTTGGTCTCTTGGTTTGGGATATTCGTTTTATAAATTTTTTCGTATGAATGTTGTGTTTGCATTTTTGAAACATAGTCAATTGAGTGATTTAGCCTTCATATTTTTGAAGACGAATGAATTTGGTTGATGGGTGAATTGGGTTACCATATACCTTAAAAGCTAGCGTTGTTGTTGTCGTCGTCGTCTTCTACATGTGGGGTTGGAATGAAAATTGAGTTCATGTGTGGGTTGAACTAGCACAGTTTGTGTTGTTATTTGGACTCAGTGTTAGCTTTCCCCTCTATTGGTGGCTTGCACTATTCTAAAAATCTCCACTTAGCACTGTCTAGGTCCACCTAGGTGTTAGGCGGTTGGCCAACACTTCGATTTGTTCCTAGACGTTTAAAAATTAAGAAAGAGCGCTTATAGGCCTGCCTAGAGGTTCGCTAGCCCACCTAGACCCGTCTACGTTGCGACTCTCACCTAAACATAAATTGGATAACTTTTATTTGGGATTTTAGTTTTTCAATAAATTCCAAGAGACTTGTTAAATACTCGGATAGACACTCATTATATCCTTGTGTCTCATATTTTCAACATATTCTAGTACTTTATAATTTATATGTCATTCTATTTTGTACTTTATGTACTCCAATACAATTATGTATTTATTTACATGTTATATAATAAATTTAATTAAAATTATAAAAAGTCGCCTAGGCCGCTACCTACTGCGACTACCGCCTAGTACCTTTGAGAACCTTAGTGACTTGGGCACCTTGTTTTGAGCCTTAAATGAAATTATCTTTGTAGGGTAATTTTGGAATTTAAAAAGGATGCCTAAAAATGGGAATGACTATGTTGACAAGGAATCAGTCATCGAACCTTATTAAAAATGACTAAGAATTGTGTGGAGCCAACACATGAACTTTTGGGTTAAGAAGATCAAATTACTCTTGAGGCACACTGAGATTCCTATGTGCATGCAACGGACAATAACGGTTCAATCAAGGTTAAAGGTGATCAATTTATGAAACATGCTACATCTTACGGGATGCACATGTATGCTTATAATTTTTGATGCCATAACTATATCTACGACTATGAATGTTATTATGTTGATTAGAATTATTGTATCATTATGGCATGCTTATATTCATGTAGTTTGCTCATCATTGTTGCACCCCCGTGTTAGTGCTCGCCCCGGGCCAGGGCCAGTCCTTCACGTGTATGTTCACCTCTCGCATCGCATACTTACCTTGGATCCAAGTAGGTGCCAGTCCTGTCATACAGGTCACATTAGGCGACTCCGACTCGTAGGTGACCGCGATTATCGCTAGTCTTCACGTGATCATAGTATAGAGCGTATATTATGATTACACCCAGTCCTGTCGTACAGATTGCATTAGGCGACTTTGACTCGTGTGCTAGCATAGATTGATAAGCAATAGGTTAGTTGTACAGGTCATATTAGGTGACTCCGACTGGTATGCTAGCATAGATTGTTGTGCACCTAATTTTACTTATAGTACTATTGAGATTTGGTGATTTTGGGATGTCATGCCTTATTTATGTTTTGCAGGCTATGGTAAGTATTTTCATACTATACATAGTATGTATGTTTCGGAAATTGTACATGTTTTACGGCGAGGGGTTATAATGTTTTCAAAGGTTACCCTTGTTTTTTGCCCCTCCAGGTTTTAGCAGCTGAACTTTTGTATCGACGAGGATTATTGGCAAGTCTCAGTATAGGTGGCTACCTTTGAGGGTATAATCCTTATCCTGTCTTACTATACTTATACTCTGTCATCACGTGTGAAATGAGTTCATTCTCGCTCACAGCGAACTCTTCTGTTTAGGCACTTTTAGGTTTAAATTTATTTACATTTTCCACATCACTACATTTTATAACTTCGTCACCTTCCAAGTGTCGGCTAGCACAACTCGATTCGAAGTCCTAGTGGACATTCTGCGTCGGGGTGTGTCAATTTGGTATCATAGCATAAGTTTGGGCAGTATTGCATTCATCACACGCTTGATGTAAGCATTCTCGATTCTTGAGCCTAAATGTCGAATTTTGCCACCTCGTCGACTACAAAAAACGTGTTAGGTTTTCCTAAGTTTTGGGTGGATTAGGCGACTTATTAACATTCGAGAAAATCACTTTGGCAACTACCTCTAAACTTTAAGTGAAGAATTTCCCTGCCAAGGAAAGATGCAGATTTGTGACAAGTTGTAGGCCCTAAAGCAGGGAAACTATATCGGTAGTTGTGTATCATGGGAATTTTGGTCACCAATTCCACTACCATCTAGTCATTCCTTCCAACCCTTTTGAGAATGAAAACCAAAAATAGTTTTGATTCCTTGATGGTACCCATTAGTATACCACTTTTTAGAATTCCTAGGAAGCTTTACTTTTCGTCAAAATCTCTGGAAATTTCTTGTGCGACATTGTGGTGCTAAAAGGGTAGCACTCGGTGGAGGAACACCTAGGGGACAACCACTTTTAGTCCCCGATAGCATTAATCTCCTTAAACACACCAGTTCAAATTCCGGATCTCTAGGAGGAAGGTCGAATCTTTTTAGACATGTTCTGAAGTACGTATTAGCAATTTCTTTTTCCGGCCTTAGGGCATCTTAACCAATACTGGTTCTCAGAGTTTATTCGATGTTGTACTCGTCATTTCGATGAGCATAGGTACAGGTGTACGAGTTGTTACACCTACGGTTAGCAGAAATCCCCGAAGTAGTGAGTACTTTCCTTAAAATTATGAAACCACTTCATAGGGTCACTTCTTAACTAATCGTCCGAAACCATTTACCCGAGCAGGCTCTAATCTGTAATTAGCCTACGGTGGTGCTACTAATTGGGATTATTATCTGATATCTTGGAACTGTCAACCAATATTCAGACGGTATGATTTTTGATACCAGACTATGCCAGAATGCTGGCTGATAGTTTCAGGGTAACGAACAATATCAAAAATATCGTATATATGTTAATTAGCAGCGCGACTGATAGACTAATTAGCAGTGATTACTTGAGCCGAAGAAACTAAATCATGGAAATTGAGGAGCAAGTTTTGTATTAGGGCAGTAAACTCATAGTTGTTTTTACCTTATCACCTATCTAGGTAAACCTAACCTCTCTGACTAGTCACCTTTCCGATCATTTTCATAGGTCGACAGTAGAATCGAAGTGTAAGTTAATTTTTCACTGTTAAAGTGAATTGAGTATAGAGAAATCTGTGAGGACCTTTTAGTTCGCGTTGTAATGAAAGGAAGTAGTATGGTACGTCTGAGGACGTACACCTCTGGCGTCATATTCCAAAATTTTATCTGCAATATCACCAAATGGTGGAGTGAAGTACATCATCAACCAACTTCCTAGTATTACACCAATTTTCCTTACTTCATATTGAACGTTTCCGACGTCATTGCGAAACTTAGTTACAAAGTTTACCAATTAGGAATTTACCTAACCAAGGGCTAAATACTTTATCTTGGGAACCTTAAACTTATCCGCAAAGGCAAAAAATTGAATCTTAGGATCGTACATAAATTTTAGCAACTTAATCGGGTGACGATTAAAACCGTTAACCCATATTTCAGATTGATGGTCTACCCGACCACCTTTGGAACTCGAGTTTTCTCCTGTAGCTTGTTGAATTCATAATGGTCTTATCAATGACTTTCTCACCTATTCTAGTAACAAGATTAAATTCCCTAATCACCAACAATCAACTTTATACCAAATTGTTCAACCGTTAACCTTGATTAAGTTGGTACTTTTCTTGGGAGACGTGATCTCAGTAAACAATATTCTTTTCTTCTTCCCAAAAAGAGTTTAGTGGAAGAAGGTTGAAATTCTCACAAAGTACAGTGAAATTTGAGATATCTTTGGTCTTGTCGATTTTATCGACATTTGGTTAGCGATTTTTTTACTATAGTGTCTTGCCTCACTCGCGACCGAGGAAAGTTAGTTTAGTTGAGATGTTGAATATGAATAAAGTTTCTGACAACCGAACTGTTGTCTCACCTCACCTCTGTTTTACACCTTCCGATGACATTGATCACTTAGAAATCCATGATGACGGAGTATCGCTTATATTTTTCAACAGTTAGAATTGTTCGAAATGAACCATCTTATTGATGATCAAGAGTCAACAGTATCATTTTTCATTTGAAAACCGAATGGTATTTTTCGGTGGAGAAACATGTCCAAGACCTTTATCGATCTTAGACATTTCAAATACATCCTCATTTGAAATAGGTTAAATTTTTGACAGTGCCAGTGGAAGAACCAAATTAACGTCTACGATTGCACTGTCGTGTATCACCTCGATTGTGCAAAAAGACATTATTTACCCTTGAAATACTTTCAACTTGCCTTATTCCATTTTAGTTAGAATTCATGAGCATTGGTTTAACGTTACTTACAAATCATCAAGAAATCATTCGAATGGTTATAATCACTTCCTGTATCCAAATGCAACTATGGAAATATCACCATAGACTCTAGGTACGAGGTATCTTGCACATGTCTAGATTATGGTGATGTTTTGGGTGATTATCGACCGACTTGACAAGTCAGCTTACCTTCTATTAGTCTAGGGAGACTACATTCTTGATCACTTTGTAAAATTACCCATTCTTGAATTTATCGGATTTTTTGGCATTTCGATCATTATCTACTTTGACGATGATTCCATATTCACCCGTTTGTGCTGGAAGACATTCCAGTCAACCTTAGGTACGTGACTACCCTATTGCACTTCGTATTGTTTATAGGACAGTCAGATCATCTAGAAGAATTATTCAGACATTGAAATTTTAGTTGTGACCATTAATTTCTCAATCACCCAACAAACACTCTGCTAAACGAATCTTTACTGTGGGTGATTGAATATTCCAAAAGCTACCATTGTAGTAAGATGTCATGCTTTAATTTTTGTTACCTTGTATTCTAGATTAGATGGACTTGATTTGACTCTCAAATTCTTAAGTGTTCATTCAGCCTTTTCGGTGTAATTTTTCGCTAAACCCGAGTGGAGATTCATAACGAAGCTGCTCGCTAAGACATTGTGAACTATGTTGTTTGATTGCATGGTATATTTGT